GAATAGCCGCGCGACGGAAGCAATAATAAAGCGTCGTCCGAGAAGCGATAGAGTTTCATCGGCGGCGCATTGAAATCGTTCCCCGTAGTGGGAGTCGTTCGCACGACTCGATAAGCGGGCGTGCGATCAAAAAATCTGCTTTGTCCAAGCGGAACAGAGAGAGAGAGAGAGAAAGAGAGAGTATGCGACAATTGTATAGTCGGTCGAGCGCCGAAATATGGAAGGGACTAAACTGCGATTATACGCGGAATGACGGGCGCGCGAGGTCGAGAGTTTCGCGGCGCGGATAATCGAACGCGCGCGCATTCTGACACGCGCGGCGACGCGACGCGCCGACGAGTCGATAGGATTACCTGGCCGTCGACACGACAAAACCGACCATCGGCCGTGGGCTGTCAACACGTCAGTCAGGCTTTACTTCGCCGCGTTATTGTCCGTTTATTAATTTATGACCGGGGTCCCGTGCGATTGTTTATAGCACGAATGTTCCGACGCCCACGCGGTCGGAGAGAGCACGCCGTTAAGCCGCTCTCTCGACCGATTAATTCCATTATAAATTATCTCTCGTTAAAGAGATGCGGCTTACGACGGTTAATGGAAACAGTATCGATGGAAGCATCTTTTCCGCGCGAGATCGAAGTTTAAACAGACCAATACGGCCTTCTTCTTGCGACGTGTGCTCATATATCACAAGTGAAAGTTCGGTGAATTTTCGCCGTGTCTCTTTTGATTACGTACTTTTTATCGATAGCAAAGAAACGTTCTCGATTAAAGCATCTGCTCATATTATTTATATCTCGTTTTCTGCCACTTTTCAGATAATTGCCGGAAAAAAAAATAATTCTGCTGCTGTAGCGAAACCATTGTTGCTACTGCGACAGCGATAACATTTAATTGGCGTGAGCAAATTAGCGAATTATTCGTAATTAAAGCGGAAACACTTTTCAAAAAGTTTTACTGAGTGAATTTGTCCTTATGAGAAGCCTTAAGGAGGCTAAACTTTACAGCCTTCTTAAGTCGCTAGAATAAAATAATTTTTTCTTTCTTTACTAATTTGTTCTTATAGCAAAATATATTCAACGATTAGCAATTAGTGTTCTTAACTAATAGATTTTGTCGCATAAAATTTGCCGTGCCAGCAAGTTATTTTTCTCTGTGATTTCACGCCCGTAATCTGATTTATCTTTGATGAACTCATCGGCTATCTAACGAACTTTTGTAAGCTCCTAGTACGTCGAATGACAACGATTACAAATACAGCACTCCGAAATGTGTAGTAACATTACTTTGTTGTTTTTTAATCAACTCGGTTTTCTCCTGGACAAAAGTACCGGGAGACCGGTAGGTACTCGCGAATTATAAACAGTTGAAAATGAGAAAGCGCGCGGCTCTTAATACACCGTGTACCAGAAATAATCGCGCAAAAAGGTTTCCGAATAAAAAGGGGATGTAATGTATGTACCTTCTCCCGGCGCGCGTGATTTGTGTATACGAAACGGCGCGTCGTGTAATGAATTCCGCGAAATAAAATAAAACGACGTGTCCGCTGCATTATGATAATGACGTTGCATTCGTGCTCGAATATCCTCGGCAGAAAGACGGCCAGACCGGCCGGTTGCATCATCGGCGGATAATCGTTAAACGCATCATCGACCGTGTGACAAACGGCCAACTCTCGTCGGCCGTGTGCGCGTATAATTAATGCACGCGATCCATTCGGACGCGATATCCATCTCCGTGTTGCTAATGAATTCCGCGATCATCGTCTAGCCGCTTCGACGCGCGTCCCGACGCCCGGTCATTCGCTCGCACGATGAGCTCAGGCGACAAATAAAGCAGGATCGGTTTTAACATACACATCTTTTAATTCGTAGCGATAATGAACTGAAAGAACGATCGGAACGTCGGCATGAAAGGCGACGCGTTTTTTAATGCTCTCCCGCGCGATACCATACATACTTCGCGGATAAATTACCACGAAGTCGGTAATTATTTCGGCGTATGCGGCCAACGGAGACTGCGCGCTAACTCGCCGAGCGTCGCGTCGGAATTTATGGGCCCATTAAAAATCCCCGCCTAAATGTCCTTCGGGAACACGCAGAAATTTCTGTAAAATAATAAGCGGCCGGCGCGATGCGCAATAAAGATATAATATTGGATATTCGTGCGGGCCGATGTTAATACACTCCGCCGCGCGATTACTGTTAATTCTTGTCGACCATCTCGATAAACGATAAAGCGACGAATGTTGCTTTGCGACGGGGAGAAGTGATGATAAATTGTGCGTACGATCTGTTGCCGCACTCGACACGACTGTGTCTCGAACCTTTTGTAAGCAATCCGTGACTTGATATCAAGATATTCACTAGATCGTCAATAATTGCTTGACACCTATAAGATGTCTTTCACACAGATAGCTAGGTATCGACTATACATCGACATGATATTAATGTCATGCGTCGCCAATGTAACGTCGATTTTCTTTTGCCTTAATGAAAAAATTATCGAATAGTCTGAGAAATTTATCACCGATATCGAATCGGTCATCGACTTATGAATCCGGATCGTCAATTTAATATTTGTTCGTTTTTGACGGTTATCGACTTCTTCCCATTGAGGCGCATTCATCGTTATTTTCTGTTTTACGATAACGCGCCTGTATCTATCTTCCGATTTTCCTGCCTCGGGCGGACAATGGAAGAATACTACTTCCGATCGTCGTTATTTATAACGGCGGAGTGCCAATTAAATCAATGGTAAGCTTCGCCCAATCGGACGTTACTTCCGGTCAATTGACTTTATGGTCGCCGCGAATTAGCGCTGCCACTAGGTCGTACGGTAAATCTGACCACCAACACGTTGATAGTGTCACATAAGACAACTTTTTTTTATTTTTCTTATTAATGCTTTTTTATTAATGCTATTTTTCTGACTTATGCATCAATTGATCTAACAGATAAAAAAAAGACGCACATAAGTATTTAAATACGTATTTAAATACGTAAGTATTTAAATACGTGCTATCGAATATTACTATAAATTATGAACTTTACACTGTTGTATTTTCAAAACAAAATGGTGAATAATTCTAAAATTTGCGCATAATGTCCGCATATTAGTCCTTGATATCATAATATCATACGTAGTGCAGTTTCATCTAATTCTTACCGAATTCGTTTCAAGCTCCTTGCAACTTCCTTAAGTCTCGGTTGAGAGAAAAAATGAATAAAACGTCCACAAGTACTGTGCGGAGTCGGAGCGACTTGCGGAAACTGTTGGTTTGAGTGGGCCCGCGAATTCGGTGCAGACTCTACGTCATTATGAAGCAGAGTCGCGATGTGTTATCCGTGGCAGCGTGCTCATTCGCAAAAACGAGCGTGCTTATCGCAGCAGCGAGAGGAGAGAGCACTTTCATGGGTTCGGCGCCGTGGTTATTCGCACGAAAACAGTCGATGGGCACGGCGCGATAATGGAATTTAATAACGCGATATGCCTCCTTTCCCTCTGTTTCCTTTTCTCCTCTCCTCCCACGACCTCCTCTTCGCACCGTCGAGTACCGGGCCAAGCGCGCTCGGTTCGCCGGTTAATTAGCCATTAAATATCAAGCAGCCGGCACGAGACTGCACGCAGATGGTATTTCGGATCAGTTAGAGCAGTTAGCAATTACGGATAATAAACAGACTGCGCGGCAGCGAGAGCGCGTGGCGTGTTGCAAAACCCGTGCAGAAGCGCATGAAGATCGGGACACCGTGAAATATCAGGATGTCCGATGTTGGAAACTTCAGAATGTTCCTTCCGCTGACGTTCGGCGAGTACCGGCTGTAGCGTAAATTGAATTTTTCGTCACGGGTGCGGAAGATGAAAAATTTTACAATCGAAAATGCAAGCTCATAGGAACCGAACACTAGTTAAGTAAGAGCAAAGAAAAGTCGTATAAGTAGTTAACGATTGAAATATACAATAAAATATATCATAGTTGTCGAATATACGAAAAGGGGATTTGGTGATAGGTGCACTAAAATTTGGCGGATATTGGCCAACTAAATATTTGATCACTGCAACCAAATAATTCCATGTACTAAATATACGGAATTACTGTACTGTATATACAGTATACGAAACTAAATTGTTTGGTTGCAGTAATCAAATATTTGGCTGACAAATATTCAACAAATTTTAGTACCGTACTACCATACGAGTACTACCATACGAGTACATACGTACTCCCTCCTTCTTCAGTATGTAGTAAATTTAAAGAAGTAAATCAACTATGATGTGACGAACGTCGCAAACAAAAAAAGTATAAAAAGTACGAATACAAGAAAAATAAAAATAAATTAAGGTTTTATGAGATTAAAAATTTTACATTTGAACGGCATATTTGTTATTACACAAGAACGGTTTCAAGAAAACAAAGATGAAAAAGAAATGCGCATTTAACAGCGCGAAATATTTACTGACGCGTGCCAAGCTCGGATCGATCGGTATCCACAGCAGTAAATCGCTTTAATCGTAACGAGAATATGTCCGCATCGTTCGCTTTTCTCGGCAATAATACCCGTTGCCGCGAACGCCATTGGACTTTCATTTTAAGGTATACGAGCCTACACATCGCGCGATTGCCATGAGAATCGACTCAATCCGTACGAGTCGGTTTAATCTTGCGGGATCAACGAGATCGATGATATCATGGAACGAGATGCGGTGGAACGATGCCCAACTGCAAAATGATTTGATGCTTACCACCGAAATCGGTTTGACCCTCGTTTGTACCGGTTTTCATTCGCGGCAACATATTTCTTCGCGGGAATAGAATAGAATATCAAGCATCGAGGAAAAATAGCCGCGGATTTAGCGTCGAGGAAACATTTGCGATGATCAGTTCGTTTTGAGAGAGACATTAATAAAGTGGAATACACAAAATAACGAATTAATAGGATAATCTGCCAGCATTAATATTTCATCATCCGCGGATTGAAACGATTCGTGTTTCCTCTTACCTTTGGTAGGCCGCCTGAGGCCCACCCGGCGTCACGGCGGTCGTGTTTTGCGTGGCGAGCGCAAGCTTCTGCTGTCGATGTTGGAGCATCTGCCTGCTGAAGACCCCGTATCCGAAGCCATAGATTTCATCCTCCTCCTTGTCGCTGAGGCAGCTCGAGGGCTGCACAAAAATGGAGAGCGTTCGCTCTTTTTCCTCTGCCTTATACTGAACGGCGGGTTTTGCTTGCGAAGCAGTACGTCGCAAGTGGGTGGAGCCTCGGGGGTCGTATTAAGAACTCGTTACACGGGGACGGTGTTGTTGCACCGCGGAATTTTGCGAGGAAAGACCGTGTAGTCGGACATTAGGTTCACCCTCTAATCTACTCGCCTATTTGGAAACGACGAACCCAACGACGTCTCTTGGTCATACGAGATGTCCCGCGGGAAACTCTACTGTTACGATCGAACTCGAAGCTTTTCATTTGGATCTTAATTGATAAATTGTGTATACAATTTTGGATTTTAAGTGGACATTTGAAGAGACGAATTGGTTACATTTTTGGAAGGTTTATCCAAAAGGCAATAAAAAGTACGGCGTATTATATTGTATGATCGTTATATCGAGTTTTCTAAATCAAATCCTGTACAATTACACACTTTTATTTTTAAAATCCGAATGTTCTTTTTTTCTAATTTCAAGCAGATCGTTTTCCCTTTACGTCAAACCTGCGAACGCGTTTGTCATGTCAGTGAGCTTTAATAACGCACGAAAATTGAAAAGGAGAGCATTAAACGACAATTCCAGTCGATTGAATTAAGCAGGAACGGCATGCAATCGTTTCGCGTTTAATCAAGGCGCGATGTTCCGAAACGAATGACCTTTATTAATTTTCTAAATCGACACATCATCTATCTTCGAAGAAGCTTGACCTTAATCGTCAATCGATGGCTCGCGATTGAAAACTCGATTAGCCGCGGGGAAAGTCTGGGGTAACGAACAATAACCGATTTAAGCCGGGATCGATAGGGTCTACACATGGTTAATCGCCTTAAAGCACTTTGGGAAGTTACTCACGGAGGAGCCACAAACCCACAAATGCAAAGTGTTTGAATTTCCGCGAAGCATTCTCCGTCAAATCTCTCCATTGTTGAGTACAACGTTCGATATATATGTGTATGACAAATCTTTCTGCTGCCAGCATAGCAACTGAGAAATTCGCCGACAAAATATTTTTTTCCGTGCACACGCGGGGGGGGATAAATTGGGAAGAAATCGTCGAACACAGTTTCTCGCGATACCGTCGCGGAGAAGGCGTTTCACTTCGAAATTCGATCTCCGCGGCAGCGAATACGCTGTATTATCGCGCAAAACGCATTTCGTCGAGAACGAATTAGATCACGCAGAAAAAGTTTCCCAGGGGTGATAATCCGCGCGTTTCTCGCGACAATCTCCCCACGTAAGGAAATTCCTTCGGAAGGAGACGAATGCGATCGTTCGTGAGCTCAGTCCCTTTGAAAGGCGTAGTGTCAGGGGAGAGGAGTAATAAGGCGAAATCGCGGCGATAGACAAGCTACTGCGCGACACACCCTATAACCGCGCGAAAGCGATAAAAGAAGAGGCGAGGAGAATCGCCCAACGAACGAGTCGGTAGGGTGGCTTGCGCTGGCTCGAGCGAAAGCAAATATGAGGGATTAGCTCACCGAGTATTTCCCGGGCACGTAAATGGGCTGCGAATGACTGGTGGTGAGCTGAGTGTTGGGCATCCTGGAGGAAGCATTTGTTTCTCGCCGACGTAGCTCCTCCAGCGGCTCCAGGACGTCTCCATAATGTGTTCTGAAAAGGTCCGCATACCTCGAAGCGAGGCCCTCCAAGTACCCCCTTTCGCCCTCCTGCAACACGCAAAGAACGAACGTTAAAGGATCGTCGCGATAACCGCCGCCGCCGGATTTCCGTCGCATTCGTTACGCGAAAAGATACGCCCTGCATTGTGTCACAATTAATTAATTTTACATAATTGTAACAAAGCGTAATTAATTGTATTTTGCATTATTTACGCGTTAAAATACGGAAATATTCATTATCGTGCGCGCTGCGCCATTACATTATGTATGTGTATGCTGATTATTGCATCGGGACTTACACAACCGTTAATCCCAAACGTTGCTGCGATCGTATCGAGTTAGGATATTTGAAGGGAGATATCAGGCGATCGAGTATGCCCGGAAGTTCTCTCTCTTTCTCGTTCGCGAATTAACGGGTAACTTGAGATCGCCGCTGCAGGATCAGTTTTACCCCGAATGCACGAATTTAGATGATTCAATCAGCCATTCATTAATGAGTATTCACCAAAACGCAAAACTGGATATATTGCGCGCAATAACGAACATATTATCTGAATAAATGCAGTAATCACATTAAATTGGTAATGAACTTTCCGAAATAGTTGGATATACACGTTATTGCAATCGTAATGCACGAGATCGTAATGCCGCATTTCAGCGCCGTGAAATTTTTCCCAGGGTTTTCTAGCGTGATATCACGACGATATATTGAATCTGTTCTCTCTCTCGTCCACGTGCGCTGGAACGAAACAAACGTATATTCGCGTTTCGAAAAGAATTAAAACACAGAGAGACAAGCGGGGAGAACATGACTCTCGTAATATTTCCCCGCGTCAAATTCGAAGACAGACCGCAAGTAATTGCGCAAAATTGCACCGCGTCACCGAATATCCTCGGGAAGACACCTTTTCGCATGTATGCCCGGACGTTTTCTCTCCTTTTCTTTTCCGAGGCAGGTCAACGCGGTGCCGACGCGGTGGTGTATGATTCAACAAGGTAGCGCGAGGGCGGACGTGAGGGGAAAAGAAAGTCAAACGTCTCGGTCCGCGAGAGGTAAGGATCGGCGAATACGACGAAGGTTGGCGTCACATTAATATTTCAGGATTCCGCCGACACGTAGTAACCGTGGAAGGGCTATGTCCTTCCCTTTTATGGCTACGAGGAGGAACGTTTGGAATGGGAGCGCTTTGTCTGGCGCTTCCTATTTACACTTTAAGCGCCCTCCATCCATCCGCCGCCAACGTAGACTCCGCTAGATGCCGGAAAACGATATTCCGCGGCTACCGCGCGGTCGTCTCCCGGATTTAAATCCCATTTGTAAATATTCCCTTCGCGGCTGTGAGTGAATTACGTGGGAATTATGCCCGGCGCGGTTCATCTTCCGCCCACTCCAATTTCGCGCCGCTGTCCTCGCGCAACGATGAAAACTCCTCAGAGATCACGATGAGAAATAAGGAGAATACCCTCATCATGTAGCGCGCTGTACAATATCTATGTAATACGCTTTGGCCGGAATAGTTCGATCGAGAAGCGAATTGAACATTTCGAATGATAACATCGGAGTTATCTTTACTACGTAGATATATTTTCTAACGGAACGTATTCAAGGCTACGAGAAGAAGAATGAACTGTACTGACGCGCGTTCAAAGAAAGAACAATTATACGGAATGACTAGAACAAAACTCGCGTTCCAACGAAGACGTTCCCGATATCTAATGTCGTGACGACCTGTTTCAGCATTCTTTCAACGCTCCGGACGCTTTGTACTCGTTCACTCGTAGCTTAGACGAAGTTCATCCGCGAGACTTAGAATCCATTTTCTCCCAAGAAAGACCCGTGGCACGTAATATGCATTGGTACGCCAGATATTCAATGAATCGACGGGAGAATGGAGTCATCAATTGCAGAGCGTCAAATGTCAAGATTTTCATTACGATATAATCTATTCCGACGGCGAGCCCCGGAGCGAGAGTTCGGTTAGGGGAAGACATTAAGGCGAGTGTCGAAGACGCGCGAAGGATGAAACGAACGGAACGAGTCATCGTTCCGCTATCTTCCCACCCTCCTCCTCCCGTCTCGTCCCCTTTATCGATAATCCGCGAGTATTAATTAGAATTCCAATCTTCCGATTTAATACGATGTTCCCCATCGCCCCCGTACTTTCCTTCGGCTCCAGCTTCTTCCCAACCCTTCGCAGCTTTCCCCCTTTGCCCCGCCACCATCATTTCCCTCCGGGGCTTAACGGTCAAACTGAAACTTTCAAATTGAGAGCGCATAAAGCGAACGAATTTTGCACGCGCGGCCACGACTCTTTGGAACTTTATTGCGTCGTAAATTAAAATTTCATCCATGAACGGATAATCGAGGAGTGATTAAAGTGTTCGTTTTATCAAGCCGCACGGCCCGCAGAAATGTCCTCGCGGCCGACGGCAAGACTCCCCTGTCTCGCTTTCGTTTTGATGTCCCATCAAGAACTTCCGCGGCTGTTACCCTTTTGCACGGGAAACGATTCTCGGATAGCCGGAAGCTCTAAAGCTCGTTTCTTATTGCGGGGGATTTAAAGATCGGCAAACGATTGCGTATACGGTATTGACAAAGAGAAGGGGAGTATCTCAATATCTCCGAGATGAACGACGACAGAAGTGAGATATATGTAAATTCTCTCCGTAATAAAATTCGAGTCGGGAACGAATGAAATTGAGACCGAGGATAAATTCGCTAATTGATTATTTCTGTTGTTTTCTAGGAGATTATAGAATCGAGCGAGTAAGAAATTTCATAAGTTGGATTTTTTATTAGAATAAATCATGTTTGATAGAAGAAAAAAACAGTGTTATTTAGAAGAAATAATATTTAGTTTTCAATAAAAAAAAATTATTTCATTATATATTAAATATTATTCCATTAAAACAAAAAGAAGTTTTTTAATCTTTTTCTAACATAGTTTTTACTTTTTTCAGATAATTTACTGTGAAAACCATTGTAATGTTTAGATGAAAATATAAAAGAAATATTTGACGTAAAGAGAGATATTTATTGTTTGAGAAACCAAACAATTCTGTTGAATTAACCTTTTGCGGTCGTATGTCTACTCTCAGCCACCAAAACCTTTTTACCGTTCCGGTCGTATGTCTGCTCTCAGCCACCACAGCAAGGAATGACCATATGAATCCTATACTGTATGCATTCATGTATCAGTTTACACTTTTTCTAAACAAACCTCAATGCCTAAGAAATCTATTCACGAACCAATACGGTGCTCCTATCAATTAGAGGTAACGAAATCCAATGTAAACAAAAGTTGTCAACCAGCGCTCGCCATGCAAGACGCAGTGGCGAGTCAGTCGTCTTTTGAACGTAACGAAACCTCTTGAATACTGACTCTGATAGAGAAAGTGAAATGTAAAAAGTAAAGATTGTAGTGTATGTTCAAACAGAAAGATTAAGGGCGGAAGGCACGAAACCAATTATTTTTGCGATACATGCACTCGAAAACCAGGCCTGCATGTTGGAGAATGTTTTGAAAAATACCACACAATGGAGAATTATAAAACATAATTTTTATACAAAAACATATCACTAGATGACTGTATTGAATAAAGATATATCTAAAGTTCACAAAAGAATTACTAAACCTTGTTTATCCATCGTAATCTTGCGTGTTATGTATCCCTGCTCTTTCGACGGAAATTAATTCCGACCAGTACGATACCCATGTCCAAATTTAATACGACCGCAAAGGGTTAAACAATTATTTGTTCGCTCCATTCCAAAAGACGAATTTCTTTAAATTACAGAAATTTTATTAAATCTAAAGAAATCTTTTCCTCTACGTACACTTATCGCAAGTATTACTGTAAACTTAATATCATAACAATTTTTCATTAAAATCCTAATGCGATTTAGGAAAAATTAAAAATAGAACATTAACTTCAAAGAATACGTAAATATAACAAGTAACATCCTTAGTTGTAAATATTTCAGCTTCCGAATAATCAATCGTTTTCTAACTTTACAAACGTGTAGATGGTATTTCCATCAATATGCAGGTAAAATTTAAAAGGATTGCTAAGAAAATGGTTTGACAGACCAACTACCTCAAGCGCTTCTTTCCAGTTGAGCATCGCTTGGTTTATTTATCTCGTGATATCTCCCTTTCTTTTTCTCTCTCTCTCCGTCTTTTTAGCCACGAACCCCGATCCGTACCATGAAACATGCACGACAGCGCTCGCAACAATTTCTCAGCGAATTCACCGCCGAAAGAGGTCCCCGGCAAGACCCAAGAGTCATAAATAGACTACGAAGCGTAGGCGCACAACGAGAAAACGTCCCTTTAGCATCCTGCCGTCCTCTTGTAACACATTCCATTTCAGAGGTCCGAAAAAAAATTTTATTCCCGGCGTTACATCATATAATTAAGAGAAACGTGGAATTACCGCGGGCGCATTATTGCGCCCGTGGGCCGTACCATTTTGAACGAGCAGCTGGCTTCAGCGATTAACCGGCTTTTATTTCCGAGAGCGGACAATAAGATTTCTGTCGAACGGCTTTTTTTGCACGCGGGAAGGACAGCAAAGTGCCCGTATCGAGGTAAAAGTTAATTCTCCGTGCTATACTATTCCTCTCCTCCTCTCTCTGTCTGTTTCGTTCTAACGAGCCGCGCGGCGGTACAACGAAGCTCGAGAACGCACGGACATTCGTCGAACCAACGACAGCCCACCTCCTCAGCAACATCAGTAGCAACGGGTCACGAGTGATACGTGGATGGCTTGTTGCTGACCGCGTGGTTAGGTTTAGATATCATCGCATTTCCTGCAACAGCGAGGAGCGCCGATCACGTTCTCCAAATACCAAACCAAATTTCCAAAGGTTTTTGATGCCGTGGAATTTTCACAGAATCTTATCAGGGGAATATAATATGCGAGGAGCTTGCACGACTAACCGCGTGATGCGCACAATGACAAGGCGCCTGCACCGTAATTATCTTTCGCCCTCTGTCGTAGATTTTCCGCGTAACTATACGTCACACACGGTTGTTTGAAACGCC